TATTCTAATAATTGTTATAGCTCCTGAACTGTGGAGTAAATGACTGTGATTAAGCTCTTTCTTCTAATCATGATCAGAATCAGTCAGAGCTGTATTTATATAAATCTATCTGGTATTCCATCATTAATCTTGTGGGACAAATTGGGTTAAAGTTCAATTGCACCTGTCCAATCTTTTACACATAAATGTTAGATAAATTCTGGGGCTGAGATTGGATCCAGCCACTCCCAGTCTCTTCTCTTAGAAGGAATTTTAGAAGTGTAGGGACCCTGCAGGGGTTTGAAGATCCATGGTGGCTGTTGGGTGTCATTTCTCCATCTCACGTCTCAGAAGGAGGGTCTCCAACAAAGAGATAAAGCTTTTGCCTGAAGCTCCCACTGTGCCCATGACAGGAACCCCTGAGAGTGTCTAGGACATCCCGGCTCTTTGGCAGCCTGGGGACTCCTGGAGTGTCACCGTGGAGCCTGTGACAGATCAGTGCCTTTGCAGCACAAGGTGCCCTGGGATGTCACCACGGAATGGCTGTGACTGCCTCTGACCACAGGGCTCTTTACCATCCCAGAAAGCCCTGGGAGGTCTCCATGAAGCCCCTGTCTCTGCCTGTGACATTCCAGCTCTGGAACAGCCTGGAGACTCTTGGAAAGTCCCCATGGAACCTCTCTGAGGGCCTGTGACCAATCTGATCCTTAGCAGCCAAACATCACTAGTGTTAGCGTTCAGAAACATAATCACAAAAATGATTATATGTGGGTGCTTTATTGAAGAGCTCTGGGTGTCAGGGGTAACAACCCAAATCTGAGTCCGACATGCATTCAGGATGAACATGTTTTTATATTCTATCGTTATATAACTTTCATGTTAATTATTAAACTTACATTATCCTATTGTACACATAGATTTCAGCCAAGCATGGCTCCTCGTGGCCCTCCTTTAAATTTCTAACATAGTTTCTCATGATTCTTCTTATGATTATACTAATATATAATATATTAGTATAATCATAAGATTATACTATATACTATAATATATAATATAATAATATATTATTTTATATTAAATAATTATATTTAATTACTAAACAATCATCACGTCTAACAATTATATAATTTATCATATACTGCTTACGCAGGTGCAATGATCAGGCAAAACACAAAGCCTAACATTTTCAGAGTCTACCTTTAACATTTTCCCAGGACCCCACTATCACTAGGACCCTGTTCCTATGGTCAGTTTCCATGGCAACCATCACCAGCCCCCTGTTGCTATGGACAGTTTCCATGGCAACCATCCCCAGCCCCATGGTGCTATGCACAGTTTCCATGGAAACTATCACCAGCCCCCCTGTTGCTATGGTCAGTCCCTTGGCAGCTCCATGGAGACCCCATGCCAGGGGTGGTTGCCATGGACACCAGCTCAGGCCTGCAGCCAGAGCCTGTTGCCATGGCAACCATTGGCACTCCCATCCCCAGGCTCATGGGATGTTTCTTTGAGCCAAGCCCTATTCAGAAATGAAACTGACTGGTGTAATTACACTTCCACCAACATCTCTCGCTCTACTAATGCTCCATTATCATTGCCAGCAGCAGCGGTTTTTACTTGCAGAGACAGAGCTTGGGCTGCTATTCTGTCACATATTAAGGGAGGCCCCTGCAGTCTAGGATGACTCTCGCTGTTAGTACCCAACACATCCATGATTTCACCACATAGATTTCCACAGAGAGGGAAACACAGCATTCAGGTGTTTATCCCTGACTGCAATAATAACCTCTGACTTTTGTCAGAGTGACTTCTGGTCTCTAACATGGTGTTGGGCTGCCTCCTTCTTTGTTCCAGTAGTGTCCAGAAAGCCACTGGGATTGTTAAACAGACTAGGCTGCCGGTTAGCACACCAATCTAATGTTACTTCACTTGCTTTAACAGGATTGTTAACTGATGTTAATTCAATCAGACATGCTACACTGCAAAATCGAGTTGCTGTAGTGGTTTGTTTTTATCCCCAATGGTTTGTTCCTTTCCCCCTGCATTGCTGGTTTAGTCTGAGTTGCACCCTCTCACCTAGTTGTCAATCTTACCCTAAGGCTTGCCCCTTGTTTTGGAATGTTCCCTGTCCCTCCTCTTACTCAGTTGTCAATCTCTCCTTGTACATGCCCCCAGCTCTGGAAATCCCCTTGGAAAACACCTAATATTCAAAGCCCTATTGGTTTGTTTAAACTGTCCCACTACCCCTGTGTTACCCTATTGGTTTGAGTGTTAAACCTCACCTGCTGCTCCTCCCTGATCCTTCCCCTATCGGTTGAAAATTTGTACCCTCCCCTGTATAAAAGTCCCTGCAAACCAAGGCTCATGGTCTTTTGTCCCTGGATCCTCGCTAGAATAAGCCTCTTTGGAACCTATTAAAAAAACCTCTCTCTCATTCTTCCCCCTGCCTTCGATGCTGAACCATCGATGCCATAGAGGTTAAGCCATACAGCTGCATCCTAGACTGCGCTGCTTTCTGGGAACAGCCCACTCTTGGCTTGGTGCCAGGACCTGGCTGGGGAAAATCTGGCACTGCGTCAAGCTGCCATTGATTTTTTGCTTTTAGCACATGGACATGGATGTAAAGATTTTGATGGAATCTGTTGTATGAATCTTTCTAATAATTCACAATCTATTCATGCAAGTAATAAAGCTTTACAAGATAATGTAGCCAAATTAGAAACAGAAGACAGAACTGAATGGTGTAACAGCCTTTTTAGAAACTGGGGGATAACTGGAATTAAGGTCAAGAATTTGAATGTTTGGGTTAAGGATGCTGTAAGTTATAGTGATATGCTTGCCATGCTTGATTCAATGTATTCGGAGATTGATTAATAATTCAATAAAGCAAATAATGATTGTGGAAGATTAGACAGGCACAGAAGATGAGCTGGGTAGCACCACCAACCTCTTGGCCCTGGTACAGTGGAAGTCATGGGAAAGATAAACTCAAGACAAGAACAAAGGTGAAGACATCATGTCTGGTCACTCTGATCAGTCTGACAAGAGAATATGTAATAAGGACATTGCTAGCGCAAAAGAATGTAACAGGGACTTGATAACCAAAAAGTTTGTTTTACTAAGGGAACAGGGGCAAAGGGGTCTGAATGGAAAATTTTGTATGAAACTTAGAGAACCATAAATACTGGTGACTAATGTAATAAACGGTCTTTGCTTGCATAGCATGGTTGGTGTCTCTCAATCCTTGCAGGGAGCTAGGGCTGGGTGACTGGAACTGGTCAGGTCCAGGTCTAGTTATGGGCACTGGTGACGTGGAGCTGGGTGATGGATGCAGTGGTGTCTGGGACTAGGTGGCAAGAGTTGATTGGCTCCAGGTCAAACAGCTGAAGGAGAGCGTCACTTCATGTTTCCTGCCCTTTTTTCCCTCATTTCCAACATTTCTCCCTTAATCATTCTCAGATTAACAGCCTGGTACTGCCCTGTCTGTACCAGGAAGAGCCAGCCCATCTGCCAGCAATACAGGCGGCAGACATCCTGCACACACAAGGGGCCAATGTACCTGCAAGCTGCCTCCTCTGACAGCAGTAGCCAGAAGCTGACTGCTTCTGCCAGGGGCAAGAGAATGGCCATCACCACAGCAGCAACAGCCACCTATCGCTTGTTCCCACTGCTCAGGGCATCCACAGTGAGCAGGGTACAGCTACAGATGTTCAGAGCTTGAGGGCTGCACCACACCACCATGAAGCCTGTGTTGCAGGTACAAAGGACAAGAACCAGACCCCTATGCATGACATCCCTCACAAGAACTACATGTGGAGCCAGAGACACAGCAGAATGCTGAGACTGGGCACACAGCATGGCTACACCAGCTTCCCTGGGCAAAGATGCAGGGACACGGCACTGGACAGAGCAGCATCATTTAATGCAACCTCAGCAGCAGGTCTCTGCTGGTGCACCACAAGACTACAAAGGATCTGAGCACTGTGTCCAAGACAGAGCCTTCACAGGAAGTGAAGATGAGAAGCCCAGCCTGTGCAAAGCATAGACTGCCCCCCCTCCAGAAAGCCAGACAAATTTTCCAGGATTTTGAAAAAATCATGAGTCATCAGAGGGTGCTAGAGCTTCTAGAACCAAATTTTCCAATCATGCCACCTTATCTGAGGAAGAGAAAGAATGGGAAGATGATGGATAGCAAAAGCTCTGCCAAGGGAAGACATTAAGGACAAAGAGCTGTCCCAAAATGAAGACAAGAGACCAAGAACTGGCTGAAAGGCAAGACAACAATGAGAAAGATCTGTCTCAAGGTGAACGCAGGAGATGAAGAGTTGGCACAGTGAGAAAAATACAGTGATAAAGAGCTGTCATAATGGGAATACAACAATGACAAAGACATGTCCCAAGAGGAAGATGGGAATGACAGAGATGTCCCAAGGCAAATACAGCAGAGACAAAGAACTCTCCAAGAGGGAAGAGGACAATGACAAAAAATTTACCCACCAGGAAGACAACAAAGACATGTCCCAAGATGAAGATCATTTTGACAAAGGCATGTCCTAGTAGGAAAATGACAAAGAGGTCTCCCATGGGAAAGACAATGTCCCAAACGGAACACGAGAAAGACCAAGACCTGTCCCAAGGGGAAGGCAGCAACAACCAAGAACTCTCTCAAAGGGGAGATGACAATGAAAAAAAAAACTGTTTCATTGGCAACACAAAAAAGACCAAGGTCAGTCTAAACCAGAAGATGATGTCAGCTACAGCACCTGGGACAACTCCTTGGGCCCAGTGAACAATGAGGACCCTCACACTGCTACCCAGAGGAGGCAGCAGGAGAGGCAGCTAGTGCCCTGAGCACTTCTTGCCCCAGTGGGTGCCACAGCCTCTGAGCCAGCTTTGGCCAGAGCTCCTGAGGAAGGGGAGCACCAGGCATCTCTTGCTTCTCAGGAAGAAGAGGCAGCAAAAAACAGCTTTTCTGGCCTTCAGTGGGCAGGTGACAGGTGCAGGGGCAGAGAGCCAGGCAGCTGCACTGCACAGCCCCTGCTGCTCACCCAGTCTCCTTCACCTTGCTTGTTAGAAGCCCATGCCCACAGCACGCAGTGGGCAGGGACAGGTGGGGGTTTCAGTCCTGTTAGTGCCAAAGTCCAAGGATAGAGCCTTTGCCAAGGAGGAGGAAGAGTGGAAAGACTACATCAACTAAGATCTGTCCCTAGAGGAAATCTGCAGTGTCTAGGGCCTGTCCCAAGTGACAAAAAGCTATCCCAAGAGTACAAGATCATGTACTTCTACAGAAAAGGGACTCTCTATCCTGCCCCCTAAGAGGCACAGGCATTTTCCCTGCACAGCCAAACATCCCAGTCCAAGCCTTGCCTTGGCAGATGGAAGCCTATGCCCTCAGCAAGCAGTGGGCTCTTTGCTGGCAACAGCCATCCCGCTTCAAGAGAGCATTCCAGGCTCTGCACAGACTGTTCGGTAGCTCTGTATGGTAGCACAAGGATGGGACAGAGGACTAGCACCTAGCTGCCAAGGCCACGCTAATCTCTGGAGGTATGACTGGCCCTGAGCCTGTGCACCATCCTGAGGGAGCCACACAGTCCAGTTTTGCTGTGGACATTTTGGTAAAAGGTGATGATTTTGCAACCCTATTTTCCCCCATGGTTGCTGCCCATATCCCCTCACATTTGCCATACTTCTTGTGTTTCTTCGTGCGCACAGAGCAAAGCTGCAATACTGCAATAATGAACATATTGTCTATTAACAGTCATCTAAACATATACCTCACAACGGAGACTCCCACCTGCCCCGCGCTGCTCCGGCCCGGAGAGACACCGTGCCTCGGACAGGCCAGCCCCAAGATACCCAGGAGCGGTGCTGGGAACGGCAGCCACGGCCGGCCGGGGCTTTGATGGAAAAGTCCGCGGGGAGCGGCGGGAGATGCCCCCTCCTCGGAGCAACGGCCTCGGCCGCCATCTTGTGCCTGGCGCCAGCCCCTGCCGCGCGGACCCCGCTCCAGTCCCGACCGCTGCTCCTGGGTACGCGCTTTCTTGCGAGAAGCAGATGTTGTTTTCTGTCTCCGTAGGGATTGCTCTCGGCTGAGGCTGCGCCCGTTAGCAGCCAGCCAGCCAGCCGGCCGGCCGGCAACACACACCTTCCCACGCCGGCAGCCCCCACTGCCAGTCTCCCTCCCACCCGGTATACCGTGTCTTCCACGCCCGTTCCGGTTTGGCGGCGGGCGGAGATTGGCTTTTCGATCCCGGCGGCCGGAAGCGGGACATTTGAACGGTAACGGATTCTCCAGGCTGCTCCGCTGTGGGCTCGCTGCCTCGGCACGGAGGAACACTCGGGACGGCTCCTGCCGGCAGCGCCCCAAGAAACGGGGTGGGACTCGAGGGTCTTCTGGCCGCTGCGACTCGGGTCGCCGGGGAGCCGTGACAGGTCTGTGGGAACAGCAGCCGCTCAGCCTTCCCCGGGGGCTGCTGGTGAGTCGGTTCCTGTGCCCGAAAGCATGAGCATGAGCGCAATCTGCGGTCTCCCCTTGCAGGTGCTGAGGAGAGCTGCCCGCGTCCTGCGGGTCGCAGAATGGCCGGAGATGACTATGAGGAAATTCTCAAGTACTATGAATTACACGGAACAGTCGGCACAGGTGGGCTCAGTCTATGAATGCTAGCAAGTGTGTGTCATGTGTCCACTCACCTCGATATTTGTCTGAGAGAGTAACTGCAACTTCAGAGTCTGCGGGTCATGTTTCTCGGCGTATTTTGCGGGTCACAATTGTGGAAGTGTAACTGGAAAGTAGTGGCAGCAATTGCTTCTTCCTCTAGCAATGATGCTACGTATCATATTTGCTTCAGGGCGACTGAGATCAGGGTGAGAAAGCTGGTCACCATGCAGAGCTTTATACATTTCTGTTTCAAATTCCAGGTGGGTTTGCTAAAGTAAAACTTGCGCGACATCGTCTCACTGGTGAAAAAGTTGCAATAAAAATCATGGACAAGCTTGCTTTACAGGTAATCCAAAAGATACTTCAGAGGGGGTAATGTGCTGTTCCTGTGGACCTCTCAGGAGCACGCGTGCAACCTGTCACTGTGGGATAGTGGTAGATGCTGTAAACTTGAAAGGATTCTACTAGCACCACAAATCCTGTGCCCTCATATGGAGAGGGCAATATTCCCTGGCTGTAAAACTGAGGCAGTTACAGCTTTAAATATTAAGTCACTAAATAAACCACTGTAAGTCAAATGGAGTGCTGATGAGACTAGTAGCATTGTAGAACTGCCCCCTTGGGTTTTACTGACCAGTATGTGAGGAGGGCAGTTGAGCAGTGACAGAGCTGGTGCTGGTTTAAGTTTGAGCAGTTCTGATGTGCAGGCTTACTTTGAGGTACAGGCTATCAAACTACTTAGCGATTTCATACCTTGCTGTTGTGATCTTTTAGGATGACTTGCCTCGTGTTAAATTAGAAATCGATGCCATGAAGGACTTGAGCCACCAGCACATTTGCCGGTTGTATCATGTGATTGAGACACCCAAGAAAATATTCATGGTTTTAGAGGTAAGGAATGGTGTTTCTGCTATGGCAATAATCTCTGGGTTTAGTCGTAGCAGTAGATGGTAGTAGAGTCCAAATGAGACAATTCTTAGAAAATCATCTCAATGATGAGTGTGTCCAAGGTCTTGTAGTTTAAAAATGAAGCTGCTAATGTATTCTGTCTCATTGTAAAAGCCACTCTTCACTGTTTGCAGTAAACAGACTGACTTTAATTCCCACTTCACACTCCAAAAAACAGCGCCAGCAGGATATGTGGGACCTGAGAAGTGCCACCGAATTGTCATGTCTTAGGCAGTTTCTGTCATCTGTGCTGGTTGAGTGGTATGGCTGTGGGAATCATCAGGCAGGAGTTGGGCTCTTGGTCTTGTTGGATCTGTTGCACACTGGCCTGGGTGCTGCTGGGATTAAGCAGAGGGAGAGAAAGAGAAGAGTGCCTTCCTGCTGTCCAGTGCCCTTTTTCATGTTTACATTTCATGACTGTATCCCAAATGTATTTTTTTTCTTTGCTTTCATGCAGTACTGTCCTGGAGGAGAGCTGTTTGATTACATAATTTCTAAGGACCACCTTTCTGAGGAGGAAGCTCGCATATTTTTCCGTCAGATTGTTTCAGCAATTGCTTATGTGCATAGTCAGGGATATGCCCACAGAGATCTCAAACCGGTAAGTCTGAACAGTAGTCAAATTTGCAGAAATAATAATGACCACCCACTTTTATTTCTCTGAGTGGAGCTGGTGTGAGTTGTCTTCTCTGTTCTCCTGTGCTTAGAGCTGTTCAGTTAACATTTGCTGAAAAGCATTATTTCTACTTATTGCTTTGTTCCTCAACTGAGCTGGATGTAGCTGTATCTGAGGAAGGATCTTCCTCTGGAAGAGGAACAGAATAATGCACTCCAGTTGAGAGTGGAGCAGACACAGATTTGATTTTGACTGTTGGTTAGGCATTTTTGCTATCCCCTTTATTCCAGCACGTACCCAGGGAGAGTTGTTATGCTTCCTCTCTATTGTGCAAACTGTTCTGTTCTGACATTCAAAGGAAAATGTTTCTCCCACACTGTAAACAAGTAAGGACAGAGGAGGGATGTGCCACAAGACTGATCCTGTGGCTTTGCTGTGACCACACGATTTAAGCATGGGCTTAGGGAATGGAAGCCTTGAGACTATTTCTCCTAGAAGGGGTTAGAAGTTTGCATGTTCAGAGACACTGATAACTGAGAAAAGCAAATTCTTTGGGTACAAGTGTTTTACTTGACAGCTCAGGAAATCCTTGTCTCCAAAGAGCTTCTCTCCAAGCAAAGCCTTGTGTGTCCCTCTTGGAAAGATTTGGATTGTAGCTGCAGACCTGATGGATTCATAGGATTGTGAGATAACTTGGTTGGGAATTGACTTCTAGTGGCTTCTGCTTTTATCTCCTTTTTAAAATAGTGTCAGACCAAACTTCTTCATCCAAACACATCTTGGACCTTTACCTAGGATGAGGCACCATAATTTGCTGGGAAACCTGTTAGGCTCTTCACTTCCTTTTTTATGAGAAAAAAGTTTTTTTAGTACCAGCCTGAATGTCTCCTGAAGCTTGTTGACTGCCATCATCCCACCTTCTGCTTCTCTGGAGGGGCTGGTGCTGTCTTTATGCCCCCTTTGTAAGAATGAAAAGGCTGCCAAGTGGTCTCCACTGAAGCTTTGTCGCCTACAGGCTGAAAAACCATCACTCCCTCAGTGTCCTCATGGAAAAAGTGCTCCAGTACCTTGGACAGGCTGGTTTCCATCCACAGAGTTGACCTCGGTTTGTTGTCTTTCCTGTGCTAGAGGGTGGGCAGAAACTGAATGTGCTGTTCTCAGTGTGGTGAACAGAGAGCAAGAGGCTTTCCCCATTTTGCCAGCTCTGCTTCTTTTCACACCATCTGTGATATCACTGGCTGCATTTTCTGCCAGGGCAGGCTGCTGCCTCGCAGTTTTTGCTTTCTGTGTAGCAGCCCCCTAGGCCTCTCTGAGCAGGTAGGAGCTTGTATTCCCTGTCTGTAATATGGGATATATTCATTAGTAACAGACCAAAATCTCCAGAGGAGAGCTTCAGGTAAATTAGGGCTGTTAATGGCAAGAAGAAATAAGGTGAACAAAAATGTGGTTTCTTGGATACCTGGCATTATGTAAGAATTCATTACCACTTTCTCTTTTACTAGGAAAATTTGCTGATTGACGAGGAACATAACCTGAAGCTGATAGACTTTGGACTTTGTGCAAAACCAAAGGTAAGGGTGTCAGTTGCTATCATAGCAGAGCTTAATTAGCTACAGCTTGCACATAAAAATTGCCGGCGTGCCTTCAGGGTGCAGTGCAGAGCCTTGCCCTGAATTTGAGCGGTTGGTGTAGTTGTCTCACTGCTAATTGCTTGGTAGGGCCTTACCAGTGTGAAACAGTTTTGGTGCAGAGAATATCAGTTTTTCTCCTCCTGCACTTCATCTTTCATCCCAATATAAGGCACATATTGCCTTGTGTGTAGAGTATCTACTCCCACAAAGGCCTGCACTGTAAAGCTTATGTTGGTGTCCATTTGCCCCCAATAAGTTTCAATAGCAGATGTCATTTTCATAGGATTTGTCTGTGTGTGGAGATTGTGGATCAAATCAAATAGATTCCCCTTACCTTTACAAAGCCTCTGGATCTACGTGGTGGTACTGAGTTGTTTATCAAGTTTAAAGTTCGTTTCTGTGTTGTTGTTCTGTTTGTCATCTTCACATATGAGATGGGCGCTGGGAAGAAGGAATTTAATGGAAATAAGATCTTACATATCCAAAGTCCACAGATTGCTTTAGCTGAGTCAAGTTAAAGCACCTTGCAGGAAATCAGGAGTATTGGACCACAATCTTGGTGACACAATGTCTCTCACTCTGATCTGCTTAAAACAAAGCCCAGGCTGAGAAATAATATGTTTTTAATAAGGAAGCATTTTAGTGGCTCTTCATGAAGTTTTTGCCTTAAAATTGATATAAATATCCAACCAGCCTCCTGCCCAGTAGGTCCTGGATTGCTAATTCCCAAATTCATCTGTTTTCTTTCTGGTCACAAAAGGAGGTATCCCTGTCACAGGAGGCGCTGCAGAAAGGCTGCTGGGAGAACATATGAAGGAGCAGCTTGGGGTCTGAACATTTATAGGAGTCTTCTGGTCTTGGACAGTTTTTGCCTGGTTAAGCCATATATTAATTATACCAAAGCAAAATGTTAGGTGACTATATATAGAGAGCATTAGAAAATGAAGCTTCTGAGGCCTTTAATATGTTGTTGCTAGAAGACACCATTTGCGCTATAGCAATGCTTCTTTGTCATCAGTTTTGTCTTATTCTAGGGTGGCCTTGATTACCATCTGAACACCTGCTGTGGAAGCCCCGCCTATGCGGCACCAGAGCTGATTCAGGGCAAAGCATACATTGGCTCAGAGGTAGGCGATAAAATTGTAGGTTAGGGTGGTTTTTATCATGTGCACCGTGTATTTAAAGCTGGTGAGATTCAGATCAACTCCTCTGGTGTCTTTCTTCACTGTCATGTTGCCTCAGTGGCCCTCAAAAGCTGTATGACTGAGAGTAGTCACAACCTGGAATAGCTCCTGACCAAAGGTTATGCACCTGGCTTCTTCATCTCTGACTAATCCTTCACTGTTCCCAGGTGTTGACAAAAAATAACTGTCTTCTACCACGTTATTCCAAACAGCAATTTGTTCTGTTAATTTTCCAAGTCTTGCTGCAAATTCTATGCAGTCTCAGTATCTTGTGTACTTTGCCTTTGAAATCTTCTATGAAAACTTGCTCTTTTTACTGTGCAGTGTAGTAAAATTAAAGACAACAAAAACTGTAGCATTTATTCAGCTTTGATTCCATGTCTAGAACATTAGGGTCTGCTACGTGCCCTTGTCAATCCATTCAAAATGCTGCAATTTCAATCATCTCCTCAAACTTTCTTACTGTCTGTGTGCAGCGATGCCGCGGCCGAAAGTCCTGTGCCTGGCTAGCTGAGAGGGTGGCCAACAGCCCCACTGCAGCAGGGGGTGTCAGTCCCAGTGGCAGGGCCCCAGGACTGGCAGCTTCAGGCACCCCTCGGCGGTGAAAGCCTCGGGCTGTGCCTGCAGGACGAGGTCTTCAGAGAAAAGCTGCGAGGCAGGGCGGAGTGAAGCAAGAGCCGGACACTCTCTGGGGTAGAACTGGTTTAATGTCCCGGGGGACGGCCAGCAGGGGGTGACAAACTGGGAAGGACCAGCAGAGAGTGACCAAGAAAATGAGCAGAACATGAGATTATAAAGGGAGGTGGTAACTGGGGGAGGAGTTTACAATAGACCAATCCGGGGAGGTTAGGGGAAGGGTTTAACATAACAGACCTGAGGAAAGAACCAATGGATACAATGTAGAGGAGAGGCCCCGGGACCTCAGCCAACCACTGCTCCCACTGAAGGGAACCTTCTAGAAGACTGGGAGTGGTGGGGAGTGATTGACTGGGCCCAGGGAGGAGAGAAAATTATACATATTTGGGAATATGGGGCGGGGGAAGTTACATGACAGGGGGCAACCATGGTAACGAAATAATAGACAGAAACTAGGGAAGGGAAAACTGGGAGGACAGAACCATCATAACAAATGGGGGAGAAACGGAACAAACCAACACAATACAACATCTGTGCTGTTGGATGGAGTCAGTCTTTTTTCCTTTACCTCCTTTGCATTACTGTCCCTGACCTCTAAGTCTTGCTTTCTTTTAGTTTTTCACAAAGTTGGTGCTTCTCAAACCTCCTTGATCTTTATGACTGAAGTGAGAGTTGAAGTATGAGGCATGTAGACCTTGTCATGTCTATACAGAAAAGAAACAGTGTGACTTTAAAGCCGATTGTTACTGTACTGACAGCTGTCATAATCACAAGCACTTTTGAGTACAAAATCCCTTCAGATGAGTTTGATTTCCTTTTTGTCACTGACTTCCTTGTAGGTTGAAGGTAATGCAGCAATTTGGTGACCTAGGAAAAAGGGTAGTGGTTTTACTAGTGCTCTAGTTTCAGTGAATTGAAAATTGTGTGCTTTCACGAGTTCTGTCCCAAGTTAAGGAACCTACTTTCCACAGGTTTCGTGTGGGCTTTGCCAAAAGGAGACAATGTGATCAGTCTCTAAGCCATTTTAAGCAGATGAGGTTTGTGAACTCTCACTTTTATTTTTCAGGCAGATATTTGGAGTATGGGAGTACTGCTGTATGCTCTGCTGTGTGGCTTTCTCCCCTTTGATGATGATAATGTCATGGCTGTCTACAGGAAAATCATGGTATGTGTGGATGACACTAGAATACATGAGGAACAGGAATCACTAAGCATTATGGGAAATTTTTACTTTCTGATTTGAGCAAAAAAAGCTTATCTGCTGACTTCTGTTATATTTTGCTTCTCTTTTGATCAGTATTTTGATCAGGATTTGTTTCTGTTTTCCCTCAGCCTGTACAGTACTCTAGCTTGGTCCTATGATACAGTAGAAAAGTGAGTTTCAGGAAATGCATTTTCTTGCTAGTGAGCTAAACTTTTATATATGTGTTTATCTGTCTTCTCCCTAAAAATTACTGAAAAATACTCTTCTTGAATGTCAGCCACTCTCATGTGTAGGAAAAGTGGGATTCTGCATCTGCTATTATACTTTCCTCTTCCAAAAGGAGTTCAATAAATAGTAAGTGGTACGATTAAGACATTGATTCTTTCCCTCTAAACTCCTCTTGATGTGGCTAAACAGCTGTTGTTCCTCATCACATATGCATCTCTGCCAGCCACTTCTGAGCTGGCATAAAAATCTGTGTTAATGAAGCTTGGTCTCAGTTGGATGATGAAGAGCAGTGTGGAGTAATGGCTTTGTATTCCTCTACTTCATTCTCCTCTCACCAAGAGTCTGATATGTCTTTAAAAAGACAAAAAACCCTTCTTGAGAGTATTCAAGGACTACTTTGGCAGGGGGCAACTGATGCTGGTTTGCACAGGAAATGTTTTCAGGATGCATAACAGTCTGAGCTCTATGAAGCACCTGATTATTTCAACAGAGAGTGGATTTTTAATCTGGAATTGGAGTACACTTGAGTACCTTGACAGAAGGAAGTACCTTGACTAGGAAGCTTAGTTTGAGTTATTGAAGAGAATGTTAAAAAATAAAAAAAAAGGAAAAAAAAGCAAACACTATCTAATACAAAGGGATTGTGTAAAGGTGCTAGTGTTCAGATGAGATGCCAGTATTTTACATGACTTCCCAACTCATATAGTAATAGAATATTTTGAGTTGGAAGAGAGCAAAAACGATCATTAAGTCCAACTCCCTGCTCTTTGCAAGACTACCTGAACTAAACCATGTGATTAGGAGTCTCGTCCAAATAATGCTAGCAAGCACTTAGTTTCTCAGTGAAATTGCCATTAAGTAACAGGGTTGTTGAGCTGCTTTTCCCTCTCTGCTCGTGATGTGAACTGTTTTGGCTTCCCTAAAGGTCAGAGCACATTGAGAACGTGTCCCCTTATAAGCATGCTCTCATAGGATGACAAAACCCTTTTTGGTGCTCATTACACCACAATGCAGAGCCTGGTAAATGATCCAACTGCTTAAGGCATTCACTGAGCTCAGAACTCAGATGTGAAATGGAGATCTTAATTAAGAGTATCAAAAATTATTCTGTGTAGTTACCATAGTCAAGACTGGACAGGAACTATGAACTGAGTTGTTTGGAGCAACACAGTGTCTGGCAGTGGAATGAGCTGAAGTGAGCTGAAACAGCAAATGAGGTTTCAAAGCTTGGTCTGGGAGCAGTCAAAAACGAATCATGTTGAGATGCGTACTTGCTATTTCCACTCTGAAATTGTTTTCATTTTATGTGGTTGTGAATTGAAAATTGTTTCAAATGAGGACACCTACTATTACGGATTTAGTTTCACACATTTTAAATCCTGAAATTTATTGTAATCTCATCTCAAACCCGTTGCTCCAAGTCAAATCTGCTGCTTGAATTTAAATAAAATCATATGCCTTACATGCAGCAATAATTTCCTGGAATGTACTCTTCATGTTTACATCAGTGGCTTGACTTTTTGACTGAAAAAATAAGCTGTGGCATAACAACTGTAAAAAAGGAATTACTTCTGGTATGACCTTATGTGCTTGGCAGATGTCATAACCTATTTACTATCCAGTATTGCCCACAGTACAACATATGAGAATTGCTCTTTGTTATGTTGGTGTTCTGTACCATTATACTAAAGCCAAAATGTAGATTAACTGTGTTATCTAGTTTCACAATAAAGCTATGTTATAAGGCAGCCTACAAAACTATTACTAAATAACTTACTAGTAGTGTCTGTAAAGATGTAACTGAAAGTTGTTAATCTGTGATGTCAACACAATACATACTGTACTTAGAAATGTGGCTGCATATGGTACCAACTGTTTTTGTTATTAAGGCATTTGTCCATAGAAAGAAAAATGCCATTACAAAATGATAGTTATGTTACTTGATAATGACTTAGTATTGATTTTCTTTTTATCTCGGTTTTCATTCAGAAATAAGTGATTCTTGGTGATGAATTTGGTTTGGTTTCTAGCTACTGTTATGCCTCACTTCTGGGAGTTGTTTTTTCAATTTTCTTCTAATCAAAAATTAAAGAAAAACAACTGTAAATTATTATCTTGAAAAAAATCTCACTTGCTAGATCTGTAACCTTTCTCCTGTCTGCTATATGAGATTGAAAGTTTAGCATTAGATATAACCTATTCAAAAAAGAATATCCTAATACCGAGGATGGTGTAATTTTAGTGTCTGAAAAATAGTGATTTCAGGGAATCTTCACATTGCAAAGTGCTAATATCAGTCATTCATAATCCAGGATGTTTGCACTTCTAGAACTTCAGTATGAAGTTGATAGCATGAACCAAGGCAATGGAGAAAGGAGCAGGTTAACTGCAAAAGTGGGTGGAAATGGAAGTGTCACACAAGCAGAGTGGACAAAAACTGCAGCTGGTGATTCAAGCATTTTCCTTACTAATGCTGCTGGGTTTTAGTACTGCCATGACATTTATGCAAGTCATTCTTTAAACAAAGTTCACATCTTCCTGCTGTTCTATCTTTTACAAAGTACAGATGTCACTATTGTCCAAGTAATTTAGTAGTTCCTTTTGCAGTTCAGTGTTAGCTCTAAATCCTCTTCTTTTTTTGCAGAGAGGAAAATACAGTACTCCAAAGTGGCTCTCTCCTAGCAGTATGCTCCTCCTTGACCAAATGCTGCAGGTAAAGGCTATTGTTTCTGTTCAATAGATGTATAAAGTACTATGTAATTGGTTCAAAACATTACATCAATGAAATATTTAAAAATATTCTGTGTTTAAATAAAAAGTTTAATTCTTACAATTTTTAAAGAAAATATTACGATTGCCTTCGGCAAAAAAATCTTTGGGAAAAATGTTTGATTTCAAAAATAATTAGCAAAGTTTACATGATTTAACAGAGTCTTCAAACAGCATGCATTTGGTTTTTCATTGTGTGCTATAAAAATGAGAGTTGTTTTGTAGCCCAAACATACGTTTGGAATACACCTAAAGAATAAAGCCAATGCTGCATATCCCCTGGGAGGCTCCCATAACTGCTCTTCACAGCTAAGATCTTTGAGTGTGAGCTTCCTTTTGTGAAGCTCTGAAAAAGTACTCGTTTCTGGTCTTGTCCCTAATCACCCTAACATTCTGAGTGGAAGATAAATTGTTTCTTCACTTTTTCTCCACAATTTAAGTATCACTTTGATTTTTATGGCACACCAGGTCGACCCAAAGAAGCGAATTACAGTCCAACACTTGTTAAGTCATCCTTGGCTCATGCAAGGTTTTTCTGATGCTGTTCAGTGGCAAAGTAAATACCCAGTAAGTACTTTGGTCAGATAGATACTAAAGCATTTCATGTAATATTTGCTGGCTTACTACCATCCTCATAGTGTGTGGTATATGAAATTATTACAAACTGAGCTTTGAGATGGTTGTGGTTCTTTTCTGATTCTTTTAGCTGTCAAAATATTTTTACTTGGTCTTGATTTCTCTTGAGGAGAAATTTCAAATGTGTTTTCCTTATATTCTTTAGCTGAATATGCAGAATAACTGAGTGAAGTCCTTCCACATATGAATGACCAGCTCCTTCCCTAGGCTGCTTGATCAGTACTTTCTTTAATGTGTAAAACACAAATACTCAGAAGGTCATGCTAGATGTGGTTATAGTTTATCTTGTATGTAGTCCTCAATGAAAATTGGAATTTTCAAAAATTCCAATGAAAATAAAAGAAATTTAAAATTTTCCAATTTTTAATTGGAAAATTTAAAATTTCATTGAAAGAATATTCATCCTGTCTCTCTGTCGCTTGTTTTAATTATGTGAGAGATGACCGCAGTATGGAAAAGAGGAAAAGAACCAAAATAATCTGGCTGTCAGCAGAACATTCCAAGTTCCTGCATGTTGACAGCCAATGCCACTAGATGCCACTGTTACCCCAAATAAAGACACTTTGTGCTCACACCATCAGTGCAGCCTGGCTCTGGTAAAGATGGGCGTGGCTCATAGCTTTGGATATTTATAGGCAGATGAAAGCATACATTCCATTCTAGTAAAAATCTTACCGGCTTTTGGGTGGCTTATTTGAATTTATAAGCTCTCACGTATGAGGATTGAGGCTGTGAAGTTGTTGAAGTTGTATGATTTTTTCAGTGTGTTTCCTACAGTGTTTAACTGTGATAACTAAACATTTGAAATACAAGGTCTAAAATCATCATTGACTGTTGACTCAGGCCAGTGGGTTTCACAACAGTGTCACTGTCAGATATGGATTAGGGGGTAAATTGAAAACCTCACATTTCAATATCCATTGTGTTGTTGCAGCTGGGACATCTTGATGAGGACTGTGTAACAGAGCTTTCTGTGTTTCATCAGCAGAGCAGGGAGTCTATATTGCAATTAATAAACGAGGTAAGAAGTTTGTCAGTGATTTACAGTAATTAAATACAGTAATAGAGTAAATAAATTTACTGTGTTATCAGATCAATACTCATATATTCCAAAGTATGATATATTACATACATTTCAGATTTAAGGAGGCCCTGCAGAACTCTGGAATCTGGCCGTAGCTTATAACTACAAGCCACAATTCCGGAAGATCAAATTTATTTATTTCTTTTTCTCTTTTAATTGTGATCTTCATGTTCCCTAAATCTTACTCTTTGCTATATCCTACCACACTGGTAAAATCCTTCTGAATCTCTGAAAGTCAGAATAGACTTGTAGAAATTTATAGTTGAACAACAGATACTATTTGCTGGGTTAACTCTTTGCTTTGAAATTGTTCAATAAAGAGTAGGAAAAGAAAAAAAATTAGAAATATCAACAACACTCAAGCAGTCTAAAAAATACGGAGCTTTTTGAGATGCTATTCACAGATTTCTAAAAACAGTGAGTATGTTTAATCATTTTTGGTGACAAATTACAAAAGTTGAACTGAATACTTCTGGAAGAATTGTGCAAATGTTAGCACTAACATTGCAGGCCATTGAAAAGACTTAAAACATGATGTGTACTCCAGCTTTTACCTGAATCTGAAAATTCTTCATTAAAACTGAATTTTCGGCTTCTTTGTACTTCTTAGCAGTGACAATAGTTTTGGATTTCTGAAAATACTTGGATTTTCCACATAACTGTAGCAGAAACAGACTTTTTAAATGTGTGTGATACTCACAACAGACTTGTGGAGTTGATACTTTTTGTTCTTTAGTTATAGCAAATAATCAGAATAACCTCTTTACAGAGGGGAAAGTCCTTCCAAATAAGTTTATGATGTTTACATAGTCCTTTCCTGGAAGACTTCTAATCCCTTATAACTTATTCAAACTAACTACATTATGCTGCAAACCCATCAAAAGTGGTGTCTGTGTTCCTCACACACACAGAGTTGCTGAAAATCATGCAAAAAGTTGGCGGTTACGAAAGAATGAGCAGGAGTTACTTCCAAAAAATTTATACTCTTGCTGAAGTAAACTGAATTACTAGCTTTGCATTGAATTCAGTAGATCTTCACTCCAGCATTTCCATGCTACTGCATGAACTACAAACTAACTTGCAAACAACCAACATAGTGCCTTCTTCTTGATTTCAGGCACGTAATGCAAATCACTTGAAGTCTGAAATTACAGTTATGTGTAATTAAGGTTGCATTTCAGGTAGAAAAACTAGTAGAGACATAGAAATACTAAAGGCTGTGCTTGACTTGTACTTGCAATGTTTCCAAACAGGAGATTAAAATACTTTTTCTTTCTTTCTCCCTGACCCCACAGTGGAAATACGACCACATGTCAGCAACATACCTCTTGCTTCTATCCAAGAAGGCTCGTGGCAAGCGTGTTCGTTTAAGGTTTCCACGTCTACCAGAGCATGCCAGCACCATGATGTCAACAGTCCTTGAGGTAAATTTGAGTTCAGCAGGACAGCATCTTGCTTAAAATCCTGCTCTGCATTGGCAAAGCTCTGCTGGAGAGACATTCTGGTGCTCTAAACGTCAGGAAGAGAGCATGAGCCTGAGTTTAGCTCAACTGGTTAGAGCATGGTGGTAATAACACCACAGGGATTTTGATTTTGTACAGCTCATTCACTTAAGAGTTGGATTTGATGATCTTTGAAGGTCCCTTCTAACTCAGAATATTCTGTGAAGCACACAGCCAAAGTCTTGGGCATTAAAGAGTTCAGCGGTCTCATTAACATGATTTAGCATGCTAGGCTGCTTCTCTGGATTGACTTCACTGGAATAGCCATCTATGAGCATTTGATGCATCAGGTGTTGCACAGAATCCCTCCTTGTTAATGGGCTCAAATCCCCTCTTTTAGCTGATTTTCCAAATCTTGTTCTGTGATGAGTAACTGCACTCTGTCTCTGTTTTTTGCTACCTTTAGGGTTGCATTTGGTAGGGAAAATCTTTTGATACCTCATGATATGTCTCCTGGGGAGTGTTCTCTGAGATGACATAGGCACTATGGGAACTGGTGATTAAATCAGAGGGAGTCATCCCTTTCTCATCTGTTTCACTTAAGAACATAATCCTAGAGAGGAAGCTGTTTACTTTGAGTAAAGGAAATGTGTTGCTGCTGTTTTTCTGATGATTGAGATTCTGAAGTAGTTTTGTTTATCTTAGGGAAATTTCTATTCCTATAGTTTGGCACTGATAGGGCCTTTCAGAACATGGCTAGAGTTTCTAAACCCCTTGTAATGTTGTATATAATATGCAAATATATGTGACATCAGTGATATTAGTCTGTTTGACAAATTCCAAAGCATTCAGTGGAGTTGCAGACTAGTATAAGCTGTTTCCCCTTGAGACAAAACATCTGTGAAATGGTCTGAGTGTGCTGCTTTCTGTGTTAGAGGTAAGCACTCAGAATAAATACCTTATGTATCTGATTCAGTTGTGTGTAAATCATTTCAGTTCACCCATACAGCTTTTTTGGTATGAGAATTCTAGGACTACTAGAGCTGCATAATAGATGATGAATCGTAAGTGTTCCTGATTATACATAATGTGATTTCTGTGATCATGGTGGTGGCTTAGCCTTCTACACTCTTGATGATTAAGGCAGAGGTTCACTAAGTTCAGTTTTTCTCAACTGTTAAGCTACTTCATCTCTAGTGATGTCCAAGGTAAATTGGCAAATGCTACTAATTAACATATGCATTATGCCTTCCCAGATGATGGTGAAATTCATGCCTACACAGTACAGCAATCTGTTAGTCCTCCTGCAGTGCTCAGAACACATTTAACTTGCCTGTGTGTAGCTTCTGGGTGAATATCAACTTAATTTGCTGGAACACCCAGCTAGCAAAGCTCTCTAGCTGGACCCACTCTAATGCAAAGACAACAAGGCAAACAGAAGTTTTACTTAGCCATTTCTGAATTTGGTGGCACAAGCTCATACATAATGCTGCTTAACTGCAAGATGTTTGATATAGAAGCATATTGCAAAATAGTCACCGTGCCATGGATTACATCTGGAACACAGCAGCTGAGGTATCCTAATCATGCATTCATGTTTAACGGAATGTGATTTCAACTACAGTATCAGCTTCTTGTAGTTAGCAACCCTCTGGTAAGGGCTTTTGTGTAAAGTATCATACAAGCTCTAGAGCTTATCAGACAGCTCTCTATTCCAGTAGTAATGAGAGATCTGCTCATTGTGATATCCTTTATCATGGGACAACAGAAAGTTACCTACCAGCAGAACATAAGTTACTAAAATGTCATCCATTCCAGCTTTTTATAATGGCGTCCATTTCAGCCAAAGACTGACAATTTAAAATGACTCTGTAGAGTTTTGCTGTAATGGTATGAAGTAAGTCCTTGGGAAGAGTTTCCTGTAAGTAGCAAAAAGGTCTTAGAGACTAAGGATGCTTTGATGTATACCTGCTTGTATGTGATGTGAACCACGAAGGTTTGCAACCTTGGCTGAAGTTACAAATCCCTTGGTTTAATAACTGACAATTTTTGGGGAGAGCAGAGCTAGCCATCAGATGAAGGGCTCCAAATGCTAGTTCCAATTAGTGTTGTGGATTCAGCAATCAAATGTTTTGGATATATGTGTTTACCTTTATCCTGCCCCTTTTAAACGTTACTTCATTCTTCTCTTGGATTCTTTCCAAATTATTACTAGGACTTTTGGTAAAAGGAGGTTTTGGTCCAAGCCTTGAATTCAAAGGCAGCTATTTTTGTGAATTGCTTCTCTTCATGACACTGGTCAAGAAAGATGATTTGGCAATGGTGCTTTGAGAAGAGTTTCACATCTGCTTTTGATACAAATGACAAATCTACAACAACATTAAAGTCATATAAAACCTAGGTCACCATCATGGGAACTTTCATTATTAGGAACTTAGAAATAAATTATATTTAGACTTTAATGGCAGTCTTTTCTGATGAAATCTTACTTTTAAGTGTGCAGTTGAAACTCAACTGAATATTTCTTTCCAGTCTGAAAAAACTGTGAAGATCTGCCAGAGTGCAGTGAAGTGCTATGGGCATTTGTATTCATGGAATTTACACATAAAGCTTCACTGTTTGAAGAATCTCCATTAGAAAAATTTGATATAAATACTCATGGAATGCAGCAGGTGTTTGATATGGTGTTCTTAATACAAAAGTTCTTCTTTTCATTATACATAAAAATTACTGGATATGTAAATGTTTGGTAGAATCTAGTCTAGTGGAGTTACAAATGGAGGAAAGAAGTGTTTTAAATATATATCTAACATACTTTGTGCCTTCTTCTAGCTATAGGTAATTTGACTAAAACTTGAGCTTTGATCATGTAGAAAATGAGTAAATGAGGATTTTAAAACCAACAGGAAGAAAATAAGGTGCAACAAACAAGGTCTCAGAGCAGGCTAGAGCTGGACAAGTCTCTGAAGAAGTGCAGCCTCTCTATATTGGACAAGAAAATCAAATGAAGCAATTAAAACTTTACAATTAAGCCAAAGGGAAGTTCCTAGCTGTGCTTAGATGAGCTGGTGAGGAGTAGCCTTAAATGTGCGAGCTAAAGAATTTAGAAGAGCTGGTAAAAAAGCAGCAAATTACTTGCAAACCTTATGAGCAAGTTGTAGAGGGAATCAGAAGTATTGAGGAGTTTTTAACTATTGCTTTATAGTCAATCATTGTATGATATTTTCACCCTGCTTCAGAATTTTCATGTCTGTAATGTTCCTGAATGTGATCAGAATACAGCAAGAATGGCTTTTTCTGTTGGTTACATCTCTTGTAGCATTCGAGGCCTGATGCCCAACTGGAGGATACAGAATTCACACTGTCAACTCCAGTGACAAGAAAAGTGGCATCAAAGAAGCATAAAAACAAAGACAATGTTGAGACAGTGACAGCCTTAAGAAATGAAATGCCCTTTGTGCTTCCTACTCCTAAGACTCCTCTTGCAAAGAGTCAGATTGAGACACAGGTACAAACTGTTTCCCTTAAGGCAGCTGCTTTCAAAGGTATGTAGAATGTAAGGAATGAAAGCTTAGAACATATATGTTGCTTGGGAATTACTGAAACTCAAATATAAGCACAATATTTCTTAATCCAATACATGTATTCTGGAGCACTTAATTTTTTTTTCCCTATGTGCCACCCAGTTTCTTCTAAAACTAATGCAGCACCCTACCAGTACATCTGGCAGGGTGCTGCATTAGTTTTAACCATCCATCAGGGCATGTTACTTGTATTGTTGCTCACAATTATCATCTGTGAGCCCCTTTTGGTATACCCAAACAAGGAGCCAAGCATTGTGATGTTAAGTCTTGCTCCTAGTTCCACTTTTCCATGAAAATTGAGATTGCAGTTTCCTCAACACACTTTTTCCTTTGTGATTACCTTGAATGAAAATAAAAGCATACTTTTAAAAATTAAAGCATACTGCTTCAATTGCTGGTTCTAAGAGGAATATAGCTTTTGGATTTCTTGTGGTTGCATATCAGTATTTTAATAGGGGCCATCCAGTATAACGGTGAAAATGTTTCTGTTAACAACATGTAGGTCTTGCAGCTATGCAATTGACCACAGAAATCTGTATAAATTATGTCAGCTTTTCTGAGTTACCAGAATTTTCTGTCATCAGCCTCTCTAGTTATGTACATATCCCATATGTTCATTACCATTTAGTTCAATGATTATCATTAAAGTTTTGGTGTTGATTCTGTAAATGCTAACTCTGTCCTTCAAATGCAAAAGGCTCCTTGCAATAGGAGACTCTTTCATTTCAGGTGCTAAGAAGCATTGTTCAGGAACAGTAAGTTTTTGCAGGATTTGAGGATTAAGGGATTTTGAATATACTGCTATTTAATGAGACCATTCATAAAGAATAGCAAGACAAAAACTAGTTTATGAGTTTGTCTTAAGATTGTACATAACTTGAAATGTCTGACATCTGTGTATGTCTAAAAACAAAAGAGATACTACCCAAAATGGGTAATGTAAAAACACTTCTAGCTCATTTATTTAGTGACATTTCTGAGGATTAAACAAAGAAAGCTAATTCTTTGCTGCATTGAAAGATCTTTGATTCAGGAAATAGAAAAGTGGAAGAATCCACTGGAAATGTTGAGGTTGGTTGTCTGGAGCTGGGTGCAATTCTGTAGAGAGCTGAAAATTTGAACATTGAGGTTGGGTTTAATTGTGACAACTTATTTGCTGTTTCACTTAGTGTTTTCTCCTGCGCCTTTAAAACCATGCTCTGCAGACACTGACTTTTTAGATCATTGTGTGGCATGTACATTGTATATTAAACAATGTATTTTATACTATTTTTATATTATTTTTATACTACATAATATGCTATTGTATATTATGACTATATAAACTTACACCCCTCGTATAAGGCAGATGGATTACTGAAGAACACAACTAGTCAGTGCAGCAGATTGCTCCATATTTATTCATGGACCTGCAGCAGAGCAAGAAAGCAATTCTAGTCCTCAAATTTCTAATACTGAACTGCAATGGTTACTCCTAAGGTTTGACTTGTAGAGCCCTGGGGAAATCAGTGATAGTTTTAATTTGAAGACTAGAGGTAGTATTAAGAACATATTTTATAATTCCCAAAATATAGACCTGAGATAGAAAAGGAGGTCTGCTGTTAGAACTACAGAATTGTAGAGAACTGTTAGAATTATTAATAATGAGAAATCGTCAGTGAAGAGGAGAAAATCCTTTTACACAAAGACATATCTGTTTTGGCTTGGACATTTTATTTCAGAGAGTCAGTTCACTGCAGTCACCCCAATTAAGAAACCTGCTACCCCAACAAATGCAAATGAATTGGCAGCAGATGAGATTCTTCCTGAAAGAAGGTAAGTGTCCAGTTGTTTGTGTACATTCCTGATTTGGAGCAAGACTACCTTAATCCATGTGCTGCCTGGGAAGCCCTGTTACAACAGCAAGCTGCTGTTCCTACTCTTTCAGTAAAAACTTTTCTAAAACCTCTTTTTACAATCACAGAAAATAATGAAGGTCGAGAAAAATTGTAATACTATGTAACTCAGTATAATCTATTTTCTATAACGTAGGTGCCTTCTTATTCCAGGTCTCCAAAGAACTGCAATTTCTAGATAGATCTCTGGGTTTAAACTTCAACAGACTTTCAAACAGAAACTCCTATATTACATTGCACTTGATTTCATTTTCTTTGTGTTGTCATGTCTGGTAATGTTTTAGTGACATCTTTGAAATAATAGGTTTTTAAGACTGAGGGAAAAATAACAGATTAATTTGTTCATGTAACAGGTGTCAGTCAGTGGAATTAGATCTCAACCTTGCACATGTGGATAGCAGCCAAAAGAAGAGAAAAGCTAAAATATTTGGAAGTCTTGAAAGAGGCCTAGATAAAGTGATCACGATGCTTACACCAAGCAAGAAGAAACGATGCACTAGAGATTGTCCAAGGAAACTTAAGGTATGGTTGCTGCAAAGGTCTTACATAAAGCAAGTATTATTATAACATTAAGTAATGATGTTAGTTATGTATTAATTGTTATCTTACAATAATTATGATTGAAAACATCCAGTAGCTTCAGAAACGGTTTTGTGAAAGCTTCTGTGACCTGTCTTGCCTGAATTCTACAGTAAAGTGCTCGTACAGTATTGCTGATAACACGACAGTGCCCCAGTTACCACGTTCAGCTCGTCTGGGGTTGAGGCAGCAGATCCAGGGAGGAGTTTGGCCCTTGCTGCTTATAGCCCATCTAAACCAAATGTGAAGGAAGCAGCATGGTTTGAAAGAAGAACTACTGGCTAGTTTTTAATCATGTTATTTGTGTAGACATTGCTCACTAAAAGCCTTTTCTCCTTCTGCTGGAGAAAAGGCACAAAGTGTGCACAGGTTGATGGCCAGTTGTGACAGAGGGCTGAATAACAAGAGTCAGTTAACAGGCTGCACTGAACTGAGGAGCATAAAATAACCTCATATTTAACCTCAAAATGAGGAAGAGTTTCTTTACATTGAGGGTGGCAGTGCACTGAAACAAGCTGCCCAGGGTGGTCATGGAATCTCCCTCTCTGGAGACATTCTAAGCCCACCTGGATACATTCCTGTGAAACCTGCTTCAGGGGATCTGACAAGGGGATCGGATTGCATGATCTACGGAGGTCCCTTCCAACCCTAGTGATTCTGTATACATTGCTCAAATGCAACTTAATACTTCAGAAGCTATACAAGAAAAAATTTGTACTTGAATCTTTAGGCAACGTGTTTGAAAAACATAATTACCCTGAAAGAGGGCAGGTTGTTTATCAAGGTATGAGCAGTCGTGTTGAAGCAAATGATGTGTCCCTTCAACTGACTGGCTGCTGGGATACCCACTACACACTGAGAACTATCTGTCAATCATGCACATTCAGGACAAGATATTGGGCTACAAACCTGACCTGCCAATCAGACAGGAGTCTAGACTGTGCAAATAATCCAGGAAGCTGAGCAACTGGAAGCTGTATTCTTTCTCTAAATGCCTTTAGTCTCCTGCTTCAGTTTCTCTTGTCCATAGTCTATGCAAAATTCCTGAGGCATGTTGAGAGATGCTGGGCTACAGTACAGTGTTACAGCAGTTATGTCAGAGGGTTGTGTACATTTAAATCCAAATAAAGACCACAAGAAGCACTCTTCAACTGACTTTGCATCCTCATCCTATGTTAATTTTTCAAGCTTTTTTTTAGTCTCATTTTCTCTCAACCACTTCTGTGACTTCAGAAGCCAGATATAGGACATGTTGTAACCTCTTTTCTTTATATATGAAAAATTGCCTGGTGCAATGCCTGCTCCTTGTTATCAGAAGAACTGTGTCTCAGCTTTTGGCCATTTCCCAGCTCTGGACTATACAGCAGGGTGCTAATTTTGGGATGTTGAAGCGTTTGTCACCATAGTTAGCTGATCTGAAACTTCCTTAGTGAAAATTTTTTGCAATGTCTTCAGTTTTAGGAGAGAGATTTTCATATTTTTATTCCTTGTTTCAACAAGCCAATGTTACTCTTAATGTTACTTTTAGGCACACTGTAACATTACCACCACTCATCTGCTGAATCCAGACGAACTGTTGAATGAAATAATCATTGTTCTTTCAAAGAAGCATGTGGAATATGTTCAGAAGGGGTAAGTGTAACATATGATTAGTTCAACTTGTATTTGTCTAAATGGTTGCTAGTCCAGTCCTTAAAAAACAAAGTATTTAAACTTAGTTTCTTTACCCTCTTGTAAAATAAAAGTGTACAAAGCACTAAATATATGTGCAATAAAACATGCCCAAACAGTGCAAAACTATGTTAAGTGTCTTCTAGCAGAGTTCTTTTACCAACAGGTATAAACCAATAGTAACAGAGTAATGCTTGGGAAAAAAATCACATCAGCCATCTCATGTGAAATTTTAAATACCAAAAGTTGGTTTAGGTACAGTCAATGAACAAATGGGACAATTTTGGAAAATAGTGTAGATACCTTTTAACTCTCAGTCTGGGCAATTAAAAGACATTAGCCTTTAGGCAAGAGGTCAGTACATTTTAAATGTGTGCAGAAGCCACACAGCTTTTTGTGGATTATTTGAATTTGTACTGTTTACTATCTACACTAAGCTACTGATTGCTTAGATTGGTTCTTACTTTTGATCAAACTGAAAGACTATTTCCTGAGTTCCCAATGCATGAAATAACCATTGTGCCCGCTTTTCAATATGTATTTCCTCAAGTTGTTGAGTATTTCAGTGTTGGGTATTGGTAGAACATCAGAGTATACATGAATCCTCTGATGCATTTCCAAACTTGTAATATGGAAGGATGCTGGATTGCACAGCAGCACCTGCCTCCATTGTAATCGTTCAAACTCTGCATTCAGTTTTTCCTATTTTCACACCTGCTGAGCTGCAGCCAACAGAGTGTTCTTGTCTAGGAAAAACATGGGAACTTTCCATTGCTCCAGCTCTGAGGAGAGGGGCCGTTGGCTAGCAGGGGTTCTTGTGGCAGTGTGGGGCATTGATGCTCCATTGGTCCTAGGACATAATAATAAATATGGTGCCCTGAAACTCCAGGATTTACAAAGCTCTCAGGTGACTAAATTGTGGACTGTTTCACAATATTCTGAACAGCAATGGGGTATTTTATTTAAAGTGCTTCTACTGATTTAAAATAGCATTGCAAAACAAATATGAAATGGGTCTACAATTATTCTGTTTTTTCTTCTGTTTTGCAGTTATACCCTGAAATGTCAAACACGGTCAGATTTTGGTAAAGTAACTATGGAGTTTGAGTTAGAAGTATGTCAGCTCACTAAGCCTGAAGCAGTAGGTATCCGGCGACAACGGCTTAAAGGTGATGCCTGGGTCTACAAGAGGCTGATAGAAGACATCTTATCTAGCTGCCAAGTGTGAGTGGCAGAGTCTTTTATCACGATGTTTTAGAAAGGTCTTTTCAGACAAGTAATTCTTTCTTACAGTCACAGCTATATGTGAAAAATCTGTCGTCTTGGGTTTTTAACCATCCCTCCTTGTACATATTCCTTCTGTATGCTTCCTTTACTATTAGGTTTATAATAAATGTTCTGCAACTGCAACTTTTCAGAAGCAAAATTCTGTAAGCTGTTCCTTTGCTTACGTACTTTTCACATATCTGAATTTAAAAAGTACTCGTTTTATGTGCTGAAGCTTATAGTGGGATGTCTTCAGTTATCGAGTGCATGGTGCACAGTAATAGTCATTTGCATAATTCTCTTCCTGTCTCTGCTTAAGTAGGATTTATTGAGATCATTAACTAAGTCACAGCTGTGGTTCCCAGAGTTACACTATATGCTCAGTGTTGTACAAAATAGGACGATAGGGCTATCAGTAAATGTGAAGTCAAGAGTGCTAGGATTTAAACTGATCCCACATAAAGCGTCGCACTATCTTGTTATGAAGCCTCAGTGATGCTTAACAAGCCTGTGCACTTTCTGACGCTCTTGTGTTAACGTGATGATAGGAGGATCTCTGAAGAACACCACCACCTTTGAACTGTTTTGAATGGAGAAGGCATTTGTCAGCCAACTGTCTACAAGGAATTGAGTGACACATTTAAGAGAAATTAAGCACCAGAAACAAAACTAGAAATATGCAGAACAAAGCAAGAACATCTAAGAGTTGGCTGGGGGTTGCTATCATATCTTAAAAACGCATGTGTGTCTCCCTATGCTTTTGCTGGGTGTTGTGTGGAGTGTTTAATTCTGCCTTTAGTTGTGCTACAGCAGAAACCACACCAGGCCAATCCCAAGCAGCAGCAGTGGGAAGACACATGCCGAAGCCTTTCTCTATGTGATGACATTTAGTAATACCTAGACAAATTGACAGTGTGCTGAAGCTTTTTCTTAAACAGGAGTTAACTGCCATTTGCTGCATATAAACCCCACGTTATTGCCCCTTAGCTAAATCCTGAGGCACATCCACCTAAGGACTGGGTGGGTGAGAGAGCTGAGCATTGCTGGAAGCTTGTATTGACAGACATGAGATCTGGTTGCTAATGAAAGCTGCCTGCTTGTTCTCTGTGACCATTACCTCAGGAACTGGAGGGTTATTTTGTCTGTATCAAGATAGAAATATCCATCAATTTTGTTTCCAATGCCAGCTTGTCCAGTTGCTGCTTTATAGACAGGTAAAGGAACAGGAACATTTTTAGTGAATTTGAAGAAAAAGAAATGCTGGGAAGGAAGGAGAGCAAAGAAAGAACTGCTGCTCCTTGAAGTGTTTCTGGTCAAGAACATTTGAGGTGAAGAAGGGACTAGTAGGAAAAGTGGGACAACATGAACAATGACACAAAACCAAGAGAGATGGTAAGAGAGGTAGTAATGAGAGCCAGGGGTGGCTGGTCACATTAATTGATAAGAAGGTGTGGAACATCATCATGTTTACTTCAGAAAGGTTATCTAATTAAGGACCTTGTCAAATGGGATACTAAGGAAAAGTCAGGAAAGGGAAAGTCAGAAATTAAAATTGAGGGATGCAAATCTGACAGGCAGTCCTGCAAGAGGAGTAGGACTTGATGGTTATGATTCCCTTCAACTTGACACATTTTATGTCTAGTCTGTGACAGAAAGACAACAAAACAACCCTGTCAATCACAGCAAGTGCAGGGGCTCTGGGGAAACACCATCAAAACAGAACTTTGCACTTAGTGAGGCTGGAATCTTGAGGGTCTGGGGTGTTGAGTGCTGGTGCAATGGTGCCAGCTGATGGGGCAATGCACAGAGATCTCAGCCTGGTGCTGGCTATGCCCTCCGCAACCCAGGTCTGTACATGTATTCCCCAGCAAACAAGAAACTGAACCGGCAAGAAAGTGGGAGGCTGCATGTCTGGGCAGGGGTGTCACATGGGCAGAGGGTGAGTGCTGGTTTTGAGGGGGACACAGAAGCCTGGAGTGTGCCCATGAGCCAGTGTGCAAGTGCTGCATGCTTGCAGTGAGCACCACACTGAACCAGATGGTGAGCAGAGGACCCATACGGAGTCAGTGTGTCAGGGTCCAGAATAGGTTCTGGGGTACCCTTGACTATGCCTGTGGTGTAGTGGGGAACTGTGCCCTTGACATTCATTAACTGCTAGTACTGAAGTATGAATGGTGATGCCATTCCCCCTGCCAGTGCAGGAGATCTCATATGTAGTGAGTGACTGGCACATGAACTAAAGATTTGTGTTGGTAAAAGCAGAGCTAGCCTATTTTTCTAATAAATTGGTACTTAAAGATTCACATCAGCACTCAAATACTTTCGGTATTCCCAGCTCTAACATGAGACTTCTGTTTGGTTTCTGCATGCTGAAATTTGAATCTGCTAAATATCAGATATAAGTTGGAAATCAGCTAAAACTGTCAGTGGAGCAGCTGAGGGTTCTAGCTGATGTGTATCTGGAGTGCTGCAGTATCATGTGATCTCTGATCTTCCTTGCTTTCTTTTTTCAATACAAACTTCTCCTGAAGAATTTGGCTTCTGCCTGGAATTTGATTGAAATGAAGAGAGGATAGAAGATGGAAGGGCTGTGAGAAGGAGGCATATCGATAGCAGTTTTGCTAATGAAAAGCATGATGTGTTTTGAATCGCCAGTCGCAGTCATAAAGTGCAAGGGCTGAAGAATTGAAACATTTACTTGCCTTTGCATTCCTTGAGTTTTAAATTCAGGAATGACTACAGAAGTATCCTGTAATACCCCAGCTGCCACTGCTTAAAAGCATATTCTCTGTGTGTAACTGTCTTCTCCCCATGGTGACAAATCTGATGTTGTGAACAGACAAGAGGTAATTAGGATGTCTTGTTCCTTCTTTTTAAGCTAAAGATCGCTGATTTGATTCACATTGTCTTACAAGCTTTGATATGTGAAATAAGGTTCTTCCTCATAGGCTACCGTCCTGACTCTTTTTACTAATATTCCTTGCTGCGAATGCATAATATTTGGTGATAGGAATTAGAAAACAGGCAAGAAAGAGGAATCATGTATGCCTTTTTTTTAAAACCAAACTTCTACTGCTATATTGTGGGATCTCAGTCTCTCAGAACTGGGGTGCAGGGTGAACAAGACCCCCCCTGGGGGGCTCGGGAGTCCTGGAATGCTGCCAGAAATGTCTGGTGGCTGGACTTTGATCCCACATGGGAGATGACATCAGTATGAGGACGGGAGGATTTCACTGGGGTGAATGGTGAAGGAACAAGTTAATTGGAGTGTGAGATACAGGGTTTAAGATCCCTGTACAGGGGGGTCTAGAGAGGCAAGATGGAGGGATTGGGGCGTGCCCTTCTCCTTCTTCTTCTTCCTCTAGGCCTCCATCTTCTGTGGTGGAGTTGGCACTCCAGGATTGGACCTTACTAGGGGAACACTGGTTAATATGGGTAGAGGGTATTGGAGAAAAATGATAAATATTGTATACGCAACTCCGGGTATAAAGATAGGTGACCGCCCCAGGGGCTTTCAGTGTGTGCCCATGGCTGACTGCTGAGCAGAACTCTGTCAGGCCAAGAGAAAATCTTTTAGATAAGCAATTAATAAACACCAAGACCAAGAACAAATCTGAAGCTTCCTCTCGTCCTTTCGAACCCGGGGGCCCAAGGCCATCTTTGGGCTTTTTCCCAGACCATCTAAACAGCCGAGAAATCCAACACTATATCACTAATTTTTTTTTTTTTTTACTAACATTGCTGGAAATCTATTTCCACCTGATCTCAGTATTGCTGGCAGGGAGTCGATGTACAAATCACAAACAGGACAGTACTGCTGGGGTGGGCGTCTCAAGCTGCTATATTTTCCAGCCTCAGTCTCATTACAGGTTTATGACAGTACCAGCAGCTCACGTCCCCGGCAGCAGACAAAGAACCCAATGTTACAACTTACTTTAAAAGTTTTTTGACTAATCACACAAATCAAAACCATATTGACATTAGTTCTATCCAACTACTACAAGCACGCACACCTTTTGTTAAAACAATGCTTGCTTATTTTGAACATACTTGTTTATGTCTTAAAATATAATGCACAGAACTCCATTATCAAGCTTATAACTTCCTAATATCTTGTTAAATATACTTTTCTGTAGCTTAGGGAGTTATTCTAGCCAAGCATTAATACACAGACCATTATTCTATTTGTTCTTATTTCTACTTCTTATATAATTTTTCTGCTGACAAATCTTATGGCTATTGCTTAGTTCTAATTGCAGTTTTGCTGTTTCTGAGGCCTGTCTTTTGCAGCTTTCCCAAAACCCTCTGATTTTAAGGATTCCCACAAAAAAAATTCCTCCTGTCGAAGATAAAAACAAAGATTAAGAGATAAAGGAACTATGTAGATAAGCAGAAGCATGGGTTATGTGTCAAGCTCATGGAAGCCTTTGCACAGACAAACACAGGGCCAGAAGGTTTGTCTTCCTTGCCTGCATTTACTCAGCCAGGTGTGTAATATCATGGATCTTAAAAGGATGCTTGCCTTGCTATTCTTAGGGATGTGTACTAATGTCAGTCCCTTGGAATTTGTTTTGGAATCTAAACTCAATTTACATTCATTATTGTCCTGGTTTGGGCTGGGATTGAGTTTAATTCTTCCCAGGAGCTGGTACAATGGCATGTTTTGGTTTTAGGAGGAGGATCACACTGGTAATACACAGACACTTTAGCTGTTGGATAGTGCTTAACCTACGTCAAGGGCTCTTCAGCTTCTCATGCTCTGATAGTGAGCAGTCCAGGGGCCACAAGGATTTGGGAGGAGGCACAGCCAGGATAGCCAAACCCAACTGACGCAAGGGATATCTCCAACCATAGGGTGTCATCATCAGCATTTAACCCTGCGGGGGTGTTGTGGTTTGGCACTGGCCAAAGGCCAGGCATCTATGGTTCATGACTTGAGATAAGGACCAGGAAAAAACACTC